ATCCATCCCAGAGGGCCAACCTGGAGCGGCCAGAAACGTATCAAACATTTTAGCAGCGCCTGTAAGCCTCGATCTTCATCGACGACGCGGGCGACGAAAGTTGCATTATTGGAGAGGCCTGACAGCCGGTGCCGCCGACCCTGATCGAAGGGGCTAGGAGGGGGAGGAGGAGGAGAAGGAGGAGGAGGAGGAGGAGGAGGAGGAGGAGGAGGGAGGAGAGGAGAGGAGGAGGAGGAGGAGGAGGGGAGGAGGAGAGGAGGAGGAGGAGGAGAGGAGGGGAGGAGAGGAGAGAGGAGGAGGAGGGGAGGGAGGAGGAGGAGGAGGAGGGCGGAAGAGAGAACGAGGAGGGGCAGTTTAGCTGCTTTTTGGGGCCTCTTGGGGACTTCTTGGGGTCTCTTGGGGGCATCTTGGGGGTCTTCCGGGGCCTCTTGGGGCCTCCTGGAAGCTTCTTGGGCGGAAAGGGTCGATATTGGGGTTCGGGCTCCTCGTCTTGGGCCCCTCTTTGGGCCCTCTTGGGCCGTCTTGGGAGCCTATTGGGCCGTCTTGGCGCCCTTTTGGGCTGTCTTGGGCGCCTCTTGGGAGACTCTTGAGCTGTCTTGGCGCTTTCTTGGGGGTCCTCTCGGGCTGTCTGTGACGCCGTGAAGGCCGAAACGTCGTATATGCTAAAAATGTAAGTTTCCGATGGACAAGTAATGAGTGTGGCCTCTTGGGCCCTTCTTGGGGGTGAACTTGGAGGGGGCCTGGGACGTCTTGGAGGCTTCTTGGACGGTCTTGGGGCTATCTTGGGCGTCTTCGGCCGATCTTTGGGCGACTCGGGGCACTCTTGGGCCGTCTCGTTGGCCATCTTGGGCATTCGGACCTCATTTGGAGTGTTTTCGAGGTGTCGAGGCCGCCCGAGGAAAAACAAATCTGCCCTCCCACCCCACCCCCCACCCCACCCCCACCCCCCCCGGGACCCCCCCCGGGACCCCCCCGGACCCCCCGGACCCCCCCCCCCTGGGGAAGGGATCAAAGGGAAGGGGCTTCCCTTCGAATCTACAACGGCATGACGGCAGGAGGGTACGGCCCAAAAAGAAAAAAGGGGGAAGGAAGAAGGGAGGGCGGCGAGGAAATGATGCCGTTCACTTCATGTCGAATCTACAACGATGACGATCCGAACAACGAAAACACAACGATATCAATCCGAACAACGAAGACGATTCGGACGAGGAAGCCCGTCGCACACGCCGACAGGGTCGGCGGATTTCTACAGCCGATTCCGGGAGAACTTTTCTTCAGGCCTTGCCATAATGCGCGTTCTGGTCCCCTCGCCCCCCACCGTCCCCCCCGCGACAGATGGGCCCTCTGTACCCTACGGCCCCCACCTAAACCCGCGTAACGTCTCCCCGTTTGCAGTGCGCCCCCGGCTCTGCCGCAGCGCACGCGTCCACAGCAGCCGCGTAGCCATGTGCGGTTGTAGCGCCTGCGTTGTGCTCGCAGGTTGCTGCGCTGTCCACAGCCTGTCGCAGGCTTGCTGGCAGGGCTCGCGGACATGCTGCGGTGCTCGCAGGTTGTTATGGCCTTGGCAACCGCAGGGTCTGGCATCTGGTGGCACGCAAGTGTGGCGCTCGCGCAGCCGGCGCATGGTTTCCTTGCCGCCTGGTGGCAGCGAGCACAGCGTGGCGCTCGAGCACGCTGCAGCGCTCGCAGTCTATTGTCAGGCGATCGCAAACATGGATCAAGGGGGCGTGGATTAGCGACGGGTCCCGTTGCCATGGGAAATCGCGCATTTCCGCCGCCGAGCGAGGCGGCACCTGCCGCATCTTGAGGAGGGCACCTTCCCCGATCCATGGATTTGGCGCCTGCGCGCCGAATCCATGACTGCGCGCCCCCGATCTTGCAGTTCGCCCGGGGGCGCTGGCGCTGGCTGCGGCGGGCGGCTGCTGAGGAGGGGGCCCAGAAGTATGACAGCGCTGGCGTGCGGGCAGCTGCGCACATCCATGTGTGCCACTCTGTGCTCCAGACCTCCGCGTGCCGCACCTCACTGACTGCTGAGCGGACCTGCACCGATTGTCAGCCTGCCCTGCCGTCGGTCCGATGACGCACGCCCCTGTTGCAAAAGTTCGAGGAACAGGAAACGGCGCAACCATGATTTCGTGGAGCTCCGCGCGATCTGTTGGATCGGGCCCGGGCCCCTTTTTGCGGCGCCTCCGGCGCCGCCCCTGGCTCGCTCCGCGCAGGGAAGGGGGTCCAGTCCCGATCCATGAAATCCGCGCGGAGCTCCAAGAAATTATGTTGATGCCGTTTCTGTTCCTCTAAAAGTGGCCAAGCATACGAGAGTCCCCTGCGCTATCCCTCCCACCTGGGTATCCTCGCTGTGACAATTTCGCGGATGGCGCCGCCGTCGTCGTCGTCGTCGTCGTCGTCGTCGTCGTCGTCGTCGTCGTCGTCGTCGTCCCACTCCTCATTTCCCTTCTCCTCGTCCTCCTCCTCGTCCTCCCCCTCGCCCCCGTCCCCCTCGATCTCCTACGATGTCTTATGGAAGAGATCCCAGGAAGGCTTGTCCAGAAGTTTTTCCGGTCGTTGAGGTGGTTTACGCTGCCTTGTGCGGTCTTTCGGGTGGCCGGTAGCCGCGCCGAAGACCCAGGGGGAGTTCCTATGAAAAAAGAACCAAAACCAAAAGCGAAAGGATCCAGCACGCCGGGCACCCCTGTGGCAAGCCAACAGGGGGCGGCGGATCCGAGTGTTCTTCGGCCACTTCCGCCACCGTGCCTGGGTTGTGGGTCCGAGGCCTCTTGTATATGTGTTGGGGTGTCGTGGGGAGCCTCTCGAGGGCCTCTTGGAGACGGTTTGGGCTTCTTGGAGGCCTCTTGGGCGCCTCTTGGGGCCTCTTGCAGGAGATCATGGCCTCGGGGGCGCGAATGTGGCGCGATTTGCAAGGGATCGTCGCTTCGGGGGCGCGAATGTGGTGTAATGTACGCGGGATCGTGGCCTCTGGGGCGCGAATGTGGTGTAATTTACGGGTTGATGGTGGCCTCGGGGGCGCGAGTGTGGTGTAATTTCAAAGGGATCGTAGCCTCGGGGGCGCGACCGCGGCGTCATTTATAAGGAATCGTGGCTCCCAAAGCGAGAATGTGGAGTCATTTGTGAGGGGTCGTGGCGTTGGTGTAGTGTCCTACGAGGGACCGTGGCTACGGGGACGCGGACACAGCGTCATTTACGAGGGATCTTGGCCTCGAGGGCGCGAGCATAGCGCAATGTACGAGGTATTATTGTGTCGGGATCGCGAATCTCATGTATTTCTACATGTCCCACGCCCCCCCAGAAATGCCAAGCAGGCGATTTGGGGACTCTAGCCAGGGTTTGGGCTCCCCCCCCCTCGCGCGGACAGTGACAATGTACAGTGGGAAGCAGAAAGCAATACTGTAAGATCGGAAACTGGAGACTGGAACTGGCGCAGGGAGCAGCAAACCTAAGCCTCGAAGCCTGATGGCCCCGCAAGGGGGCCGGCGAATATCAGGGGCAGTTGGTTAGGCCATGCCAGAAGCCACTCACCATTGCTCATGTCCAGAGTCTGCCAAGACGTCGTATCTTCGCTGTATGCTCTCTCTCATGGGTGGCCTTCCTCAACAGGGTAAGTATTTTCGTTTGTTGCGGATGTCTCGAACAGAACGCTTGCTTTGAATAATTTGTTCAGGATGTCTCGAGCGAAACGCTAGTTTGGGAGACTTCCAAGAATCTGGACACCCAAGGATGCCCCAGGGGGCCATGGGAGTGCGAACGCAGTGAAATTTACAGGGGATCGTGGCCCTGGGAGCGTGGACGCAGCTTAGTTTACCAGGAATCGTGGCTCAGGGAGAGCGGACGCAGCGTAATTTACGAGGGATCGCGGCGCTGGGAGCGCGGACGCAGCATACTTTTCGATGGATCGTGGCAATGGGAGCGCGGACGCAGCGTAATTCACAAATGGATCGGAGCCCTGGGAGCGCGGACGCAGCGCAATTCACGAGGGAACACGGCCCTGGGAGCGCGGACGCAGCGTAATTTAAGATGGATCGTGGCCCTGGGAGTTGGACGCAGCGTATTTTTCTAGGGATCGTGGCCCTGGGGTGGCGGACAGCGTAATTCACGCGGGGACGTGGCCCTGGGATCGCGGACACAGTGTAATTCATTAGGGAGCGCGGTCCTGGGAGCGCGGACGCAGCGTAGTTTATTATGAATCGTGGCCCAGGGAGGTCCCCTGGCGCATCCCTGGGGCACGTCCCGCGGCGCGTCCCCCTGGCATGTCCCCTTGTCAATTGGCCCTGGGGCAGCTATTATATGCTCAGGCAGCTCGAGCTTAAGATCCATATTAGTTCGGTCAGGACTCTGATGCGAAGAAGATTCGATCCACAACGCTATAGAGCACAATCGCGGCATGGCACATCGCTATTCGGCACGGCGCAGCACAGCACAGCCCTCGGCACGGTACAACAAGATCGATACATTCAGCCTTGGCACGAGTCCCCCTGGCACGTCGCGCGGCGCGTCCCCTGGCGCGTCTCGGGGCACGTCCATTGGCACGTTCCGTAGCGCGTCCCTTTTGCTCGTCCCGCGGCGCGTCCCTCTGGCGTGTCCCCCTGTCTGTCAATTAGCTCTGGGACAGCTATTATATGCTCAGGCAGTTCAAGCTTAAGATCCAGATCAGCTAGGGTCAGGACTCGGATGCAGAGCGGGACTCGTTCCACAACGCTATACAGCACAATTGCGCCATGGCACATCGCAACTCAGCACGGCGCAGCACAGCACAGCCCTTGGCACGTTATATCAAGATCGATGCACTCAGCCCTGCAAATGCCTGTCGCCCAATCAGGTGTCTTGAAAACGTTGCCACGCCTTACGTTTCTATATTCCCTTCCGGGCTCGTGGGTCGATCGTGTTTGGTAGATCTTTGTTTGTTTTCTTGGGGGCGCACGCTCGCCGCTGATGTTGCAGACTTTAGTTCTGGCGCTTTTGCATCATGATTCTGTTCGTCTAGATCGTCCGGTCCGTTCTAGATCGTTAACCGGTCCGTTCTAGATCGTGAAACGGTCCGTTTTGAATCCCGAATCGGTCCGTTTTGGATCCCGAATCAGTCCGATTTGGATCCTGAGACGATTCATTCTGGCACGCAATCAGTCGATTCGCCGTCCAGAAACGGGCCAGACTGCGATCTGGTCCGACGAAACTCTTTGAGCTCCCGCATGGGCCGACTCACGATTTAAAAACGACGGCTTCACGATTCATCGCGGGCCGATTCAGGATCCAGACTTAGACCGATTCGCGATCCAGAACGGACTAGATCGCTATCTGGTGTTTTTTCTAGATCGCGAATCGAGCCGATGCCGGCGCGGGAGGTTCAAAGCCAAGGCGCAAGTTGCTATCGGGACGATCGAAATGGGTACGGAAATGAGGTGTACGATGCCCAACAGCAGGTCTTGTTCCTTCTGAGCAGGACTCGCTGTCCGCGCCGCCGCGGACGTTGCACACTGAAGACAAAGAGCCGCCTGCCCCACAGCAGCCGCTGTCGCTTTTGAGCTACACTTCTTGTTGGGCACTGTACCCATTTCTGCCGCACCGCGTGCATCGAGCGGCGAGCCCATCCTTGCGCGCTGCCGGTGCCCTCGCCGTCCCTGCAGCGGTCGCCCCGCCCGCAGGCTGGCGGCGGCGAGGCGTTTCGCGAGGCCGCACAGTCGGGGGCCCCCGCCGCCTCCGCGCGGCCGCGCGTCTGGACGTGCCCGGGACCCTGGGAGGGAAGGGGACGAGGAGGAGGAGGAGGCGGTGGAGGAGGAGGAGGAGGAGGAGGAGGAGAGAGGAGGAGGAGGAGGAGGAGGAGGAGGAGGAGCATTGGAGGAGGAGGAGGAGGAGGAGGAGGAAGGAGGAGGAGGAGGGAGGAGGAGGAGGAGGGGAGGAGGAGGCGGAGGAGGAGGAGGAGGAGGAGGAGGAGGAGGAGTAGGGGGGAAGGCGGAGAAGGAGGAGGGGGGGAGGAGGGAGGAGGAGGAGGAGGACGAGGACGAGAACGGGGACGGGGACGAGGACGAGGGGACGACGACGTCGAGAACAAAGACGAGGAGGAGGACGAGGACGAGGAGGAGGAGGCGGAGGAGGAGGATGAGGAGGAAAGGGGGAGGGCGGAGGAGGAGGAGGAGGAGGAGGAGGAGGAGGAGGAGGAGGGGGAGGAGGAGAGGAGGAGGGACGGAGGAGGACGGAACGGAGGAGGGGGACGAGGAGGAGGAGGAGAAACAGCACGTGGAACACGAGAAGGAGGAGGAGGAGGAGGAGGAGGAGGAGGAGGAGGAGGAAGAGGAACAGGAGGAAAAGGAGGGAGGGGGGGGAGGAAGGAGGAGGAAGGAGGAGAGGAGGAGGACGGGAGGAGGGGGGGGAGAGGAGGAGGAGGAGGAGGCGGCGGAGGAGGAGGAGGAGGAGGAAGAGGAGGAGGAGGAGGAGGAAGAGGAGGAGGAGGAGGAGGTGGAGGAGGAGGAGAGGGAGGGAGGGAGGGAGGGAGGGAGGGAGGGAGGGAGGGAGGGAGGAGGGAGGGAGGGGGAGGGAGGGGAGGGAGGGAGGGAGGGAGGGAGGGAGGGAGGGAGGAGGAGGAGGAGGAGGAGGAGGAGGGGAGGGGGAGGGGGAGGAGGACAAGCTAGGTGCGCTCGCGTCATATCTGACATCCTACCCCTCCCTCCCATCCCTTACCATGGCGCAGATGCCCTCTCTACTCGCAGAGTCGGATGTCGAGCAGGGCAATGATCCCGAACGGGTACGCGATGCATTGTAGAGCACGGCATGGCATGGCGTAGAAGAGCACCGCAAAGGGTAGTATCAACCTAGCATTGCATTGCATGCCGTGGCATGGCACGGGAAATGTCGCCAGCGCTGCGGCAGGAGCACGATTCGGAACGAGCGGAAGCACGGAAATGAGGCCAGCGCTGCAGCGGGAGCACGATTCGGAACGAGCGGGCCGGAAAATGAGGCCGGTGCCTCAGCGAGAGCAGCATTTTGAAAGAAATGCAGGCGAAAACCCAACTCCAGGGAAACCTATGTGTAAAAAAGCAGTACGCGGGGGGGGGGTCGGACGTTTTCAAACCGTCATCAGGGGAGAAGAGGGAGAGTAGTATTCATATTGAGTAATTGTGGAGGAGGAGGGAGGTGGAGGAGGAGAGGAGGAAGCGGAGGAGGAGGAGGAGGGGAGGGAGGGAGGGAGGGGGGAGGGAGGGAGGGAGGGAGGGAGGGAGGGAGGGAGGGAGGAGGAGGAGGAGGAGGAGGAGGAGGAGGAGGAGGGAGGAGGAGGAGGGGAGGAGGAGGAGGAGGAGGAGGAGGGAGGAGGGGAGGAGGAGGAGGGAGGAGGGAGAAGGGAGGAGGGATTCTATTCTGTTCTATCTCTGCGCGTGGTGACCTGCTGCTGGGCGGGGCATGTAAACAAATTCACACATTCATACATTCATCTAACAAATTCTCAAATTCGTGTGCCCAATCCCCGCCCCGCGATCCCCCTGGTGCCCACGACAA